TCGTGTTAGCCCTGAGGGAGAGTTTACTGCGAGTGGTTTGTTTAATATGGTGCGGGGCTTAATAACCACTTAGCATTATGATAGTATTAACTGTTTTTTGCCCGAAAAAGAGCTGCTGACTATGTTTAGTATCCTTTACGAAGGCTTTGTTAATATAAGTAAAACCTTCTGTTTTGAACTCTTGAACTGGGAATTGGGATGTATGTTGATTGCAAGAGAGTCGAGTGCCCTGTCCAAGATATCTATAAAAGACGAGGATGTTGCATTTGGGAAGTTGGAATACCCAACCTTATATCTCATTATACCTGGAATTAGTACTATAAACTAAACCCTGAGCCACGGACATCAGATCTCCGACGTGTGGTGGAACGATCCGATCTTTAACAAGGGCAAAGACTATCATGGGTGGAGCGGGTAGGGACAATCCAAGGACGGAAACATCTTATTCACCGTTGAATTAGCTCGCATATTGAAGAATCGCGGGATTGTGTCTATCTGGCGAGTGTACCACCAAACTACCAGCATGTGAACGCCGCCTAACGCGACATCAGTCCACCCCGGAAGCATTGCAAATACTGGCCCCTTCAACCACGTCCCCATGACAGAGTTGGAATCGGGTGACGAAATATCTAGAAAGAACACTGGGTTGCCTTTTGCAATTGACACGCCATTCAAGACGGCTTCTCAGGGATGTTCGTCTGCTTTGGCGGCTGCGCTGAGTCCCGAGCATGCAGCCCACGCCAATATGGGTTTCAATGCGGGTGTTAACGATGCAGTTAGAGCACCGCGCTTCCTTTTCTATCTTTCCTAATACCACGCTCTTTGTCTCTCCCTGATTGCCTTTATCTCTCTGTGTGTTTCTCTCAATAAAACTACTAGCAGCCATGTATTCTCTCCGAGGAGACTGAGGCTGCTGTTAAAACCCACTGCTATCGTATCTCTGCACATAATTGACGTATTGTCAACTCTATGGTGTATCTTTGAAGTATTGCATGCTACGAATTCAACCGTCTGTTACGACCCAACAGACATTACTGACCAGGGGCAAGAGGCTGAACCAAAACTCAACTTTCCCCTTTAAAAACAGGATCAGTACACGTATAAGACAGGGTGAGTGCGCGTCTCTAAACGCTAGTTACTGTAGTCAATAGAGTTTGAGATGAAGAGGCAACGTTATAGCAAGGACTTACTTTGTGCCGTGAAGTATGACTGAGATAGGAGCTTTGCTGTCACGATGGCTTCCTACAGCACCTGTCAACTATCATGTGCCATATCACGTAGCGTTTCACTCTTTACTCACATTGTACCTCTATAGGGCTTTCCCTTTAAATTTATTTTTCTCATAGGAATAGGCGTTTCTTGATGCTATTCTTAAATGACCTGCTGTGTGCTCTAACTCGTGACATTTCCCTTCTAATAATACAAGGGCCATGCTTGAAACAAGGAGTCTAAGAATATGACATCTAAGACTTCATAAGGTCCGGATTGGTTAGTAGTTGAGTCGGTGACGATCACCTGATACCTGTTGTTGTATGTTCTTTTTTGGAAGGGGGTATAATTCCACATGGGATGTTACTGAATAGTGTGTGGCCTGGAGAGGCAGACGTAACAATCAGGTTCAATAGACACAAGGTTAGTAATATCATTACTCTATAAACCCAAATGACATCCTAATATACAGTAAATGGGAGCTCTGTGCTGTCTAATATATTTTGTGTATCTTCAGATGCAGCAGATATGGTTATAGTATAGAGGAGAGTACAATACTAACAAGAAGAATCAGAAAAGGGGGGGGGGGGGGGGGGGGGGGGGATATTTATTCAGTGCTAAAGTTTAAGGTCTGTTTCATGTTAGCTAGAAATCTAAAGTAATTAACCTTTCCAAGTCATATTCATCCAGTCCCTATTCTTGAAAGCTATCCGTGTTGGACATGGACGGATGGAAACAACACATTATGCGCAACCTGTTTCGCGCTGCAGTTCAGATGTGAGCCTGGCCACTCAAAATGACCAAAGTCAATGCTTGGAGATAAGAAGTTCAGCACTTGGTTATATCTAGAAGGAGTTAATCCGAGTTACGCCAGTGCCTCCGAACCTGTGTTGCTGCGAATCTCGCACTCACTGCTCAAAACCAACGAAACAGTAGGGTGTCTAGCTGATCAAGTGATGCTTGTAAATGACCGTCGAATTCGTTATTGGTGTCCCCTATAATACCAGCCTTGAGATTTTCTTAGAAGAAGACATAAAGTTTGTTTTCGTGGGTGCAGCGGGCCCCAAGACTGTCCTTTCCGTTGTGTGCCACGCAGATGAATGCTAGACAAACACGTTGCCTCATTGATGCGTCCTTAGTGTACATGAGTCTGGCAGAGCCTGAGGCTGTTACGGGAGGTGAACCGCGGATAAAGATGTTATATGAGACCGCAGGCTGTAAGTCATGGAAAAACCTCGCTCACGACGCGGGGCAACAGTTGACCTCAGTCAAAATAGCACTGCGATGATATCTTATGCATCCAAAAGTCTCGAAGAATCTGTATCTTGACGACTTTTGAAGGGTCCTCCATGCATTGTGACCTGCGTGGTAGTTAAAGTTGTCTAGTCTCAAGTTGGGTGTGGCGATGATGTTGGTTCCTCATATCAAGTCCTTGGTCATTACCAAGCAGGGATCTTCACAAGGACCGTTTCGTGCCTGGCAACTTATGGTGTGTGCGCGGGCAGTACTCACCAAACACGGGCAGGTTGGGACGATGAATTAAATCCACGTTATCTCGAGCTCCATCAACAGCCATTCGCGGCCTAAGAGGACTCATTCCATCACCTTGCAGTATTCCCAAGCAGCTGTCTACTCGACATAGCCAACTTCCATAGAGCATATTGAGGATGGTATGGGGGGTCACACGTGGAACCGCTGCTCGAATATGGACGGTTTGATACTTGCTTGCCACAGGGTTGCTGATGAAAGTGATTGGAGCGTGTCTATTTGCATCCTCGAAGTCATCGGAACAAGTTCACGACATGGTCAAGGATGCGATGACGGCGTTGGGTTGTGTTGAAGAGCAGCACGGCAGGTTTCACAGATGGCATGTTCACCAAGCGGAGAAGGCTGGTCTTTCGACTGGTTTCAACGTCTCCTGGGGGTCGAGGGCACAGCTCGTCATCAAAGACCAATTGATGCGATGCGCGCGTCATTCCCACCGCGCACATTCTGGGGTTGCCGAGCCAAAGTCCTAGTCCAGGGCTCAGTAGGCAACGTGCTTGAAGCTCGTGATAATGGCTGACAGACACAAGTGCCTCCCACCATGCAGGATGTCTGGTTCCGATTTTCGTATCAGCGACTTATGGCACAATCATGATCGTATTCGTCCAGGGCCATCGCGTATGCAACCATGCCACGAACGACATAGGGCGGAATCACATCATTCATCAAGGAAGTGAGTCAGCTCCCAGCCATCCGGCCACCGCACGTGCTCGAAAGATAAGAAATTGGTGCCCCCACCCTCCGTGTTAACCGCCTCGGGCGGGATTACCCTGCATGATGGCGGCACAAACACGCCGTGAGGTAGCACTCAAGACGACCGTATCTCCTTTGGACCTTTAGAAACGAAACTATTCATCGAGTACCACCCGCGCGGCGCTCTCCATTGGAGGTCTGACTCGGGCCACGAATCGTTTCGAAGCGCGGAAACAGGTCGGTAGAAACAGCTCGTAACGGGCGGCGGGCGGCGGGCCGCAGTCGCTTGCGCCGTTTGCTCCCGCCGAGGACTTGATGCGTCTAGGGGCGCAGAATTACTTTTTTTCCTGTCTGTCTTTCTTTCTTTCTTTCTTTCTTTCTTTCTTCCCTCCCCTCTACCGCCACGGCATGGGTATATGACTAGGTATCATGAGAAGATAATCAGGGCAAAGGGGAAGAGAAAAGAGCATAAACGTGCAAAGGACCTAGATGGATCGCCCCCCCCTCGGGATCACAAAGCAAATACTCGCAGGTTACCCGCATCACTCGACCAAGCGCGCACGGCAGAGGTGCACGACAGACAGTCGAGCATTTGCGTCAGCCGTCAGTCAGTCCACACCGACACACACTTTGGGCCGGCGAACCCGTATTTCCACCTGCCACCCGCCGCCAGTGGCGCTGGTGAGCCAGATCCGCGTCATTCTCTCCCGGAACACCCGCCCTCGTGGATTGCCGGCGGTGTCTGCTAGTGGGGTGGAGATGCTCTTTCGGACTTGGAGCGAAGCCGTTGTGGATGACACGAACTATAGCGCGCAGTAGCTCGAGGTATCTCGGCGGTTCTTTGTTCAGGCACCAACGGGGCACACCATACACAGCACGTAAACCAAGGACGCAATGAGAAACAATGCGTGATGTGGCGATGGGATGGACTTGACTGAATAAGCTGTTTGCTGAGCGACACACACACACACACACACACACACACACACACACGCTGCTGTGGTAGCGAATGGTGCCAGGGCTCCACGCGGGCTCTCTTCTGGATGTGTTCGTTCGGGTACGAAAGGGATGGGACAATATTAATTAGAGTGAGGTCGGAGCGTTACAGTACTACCGAGATGATGGACCAATATTAGGACGATATTTCCAGCTGAGTATGAGTCCAGACTGAATGCGGAATAGTTGTGTAACCTTCTGATTGTAATATGATTGCAGCAGCAATAATTGGGCGAACAACGCACGATGAACCAGGCCCCGGAATCCGACCGCTGGGCACCACAACCTAGCCACGATGTGTACATGTTACCGAGCTTGCGCCATTGCGGCGGCAGATCCCTCCGGCACTCTGGCACCGTGGGGCCCTTGGGCCCTTGGCGGGGAAGCTTGCCAGATCGCTGGCGACCAATATCTCTGATGAGCTCAGGAGAACAAAGAACATGGAACAAAGAAAAGGCTGGCCCCATTTGCCGACAAAGACTAGTAGTAGTATGTGACAAGACCAAAAGCCGTTGAGAGGTGAACCCTAAAAAGGGGAGAGCGGAAATACCGGAACCTTATGGGCACTTGTCAGCCTCGACCTTTCCTGCTTCATCTCCTCCTTTTACGCCCACAACTCCATCAAATATGCTTTGCGACTTGGCCTGCGCGACCTGCGAGTGTTGATCTGTTCCAGATTGATCGTGATCCGTCTTGAGGTTTCGAACCAGACATGGACTGAAAACCCGATGCTCCAGTATTTCCTGATTCCAAGGTACGGTATCCGTACGGATAGGTAGATACAAGTAGTAGAGGCTGGGAGGCCCCCAGCCCACCCGAGCGGAGCAGGGGAGGGGTAAGAAATTCTCGAGTTCACTCAGCTCAATGTCTCGGCGGTCAGCCAGGCTTGTGGGGACCATGAGCCGGGCTGGACGTGGGAGGAAAAAAGAAGACAATAAGAGAAGAAATAACGCCAAGAAGACCGGGAAGGGTAGGAAAAGGGAAAAAAACACGAGATGGCCACTGGGGGGGGGGGACCCGCGGTGCACACTGCACCACACACATACCTAGTTGATTGAAAACTCATCCACAGCGTCGTACAAAACAAACTGCTGGGCCCCAAAACTTGGCACAGCAAGTAACAGAGCGGAAGGGATATACGACGTACACGGCAAACAGGCCAATGGCAGACGCCGCAGTTAGCAAACAGAAGGGTTCGTTGCGGTTCTACCACCGATACCAGAGGTATTTATAGCAACAATCACCACAAGGGGCGCAGGCACGAGGCCTGTAGTGCTACGTGTACATGCCTATACGGTGCAACCCAGCGCCACTGCCAGTAGCACGGCCTCGTGCAGTTCGTGACGAGACTCGTCCTGTCCTTGTCCTAGGGAGTAGAGAGCCGCCAGACCGCCAGGTTCGAGAAGCAAGGCGCCATGGTTGAGAAGCAAGGCTGTGTGAGGTTGGCGCCGCTTTTTGTCTCTGGAAGAAGAACTTGAAACAGAGCCCATTTAGATTAGACCACACTGCAATGGAGGGTACGGTGGGTTGACCAATGGTGATGGGCTGTTCAGGGGTCACTTATCCAACTTTGCTCTGCTTGTGGCGGTTCATCGGTATAACGATATTCTTCTACTACCATGTGTATATCGATCGATCAGGATAAGGGGAAGAGGAGGAGGGATCGCAGCAATCGGGTGAGTGAGAGGCAGTGGTGTGCTCGGTCTGATGAGCCGAGGCGCCGTGGCTCTCCAAGCAGCAGCCTTGCATACCTACTGTACGGATAGGTACAACTTGGATATGGTTCGAGTGTGTGTGTGTGTGATATATCCGTAACGGGCGGGCGTCTGGAAAAAGCACATACAGGCGTGGATGTATGCGATGCGATGCGATGCGCGCCACTTGCTTCTACGAGGATGTGACGTAAACCAGATACACAGCAATTTACCACGTATAGTGCATCCGCACATGGTGTACGGATACGGAGTACGGAGTATCGCACAAGTAAACGCTTCTCCACTGCGGACCGTATTTCCTTTCCAGCCGCGTCATGCTAACCCTAGATAGGGGGTGACTGACCAAGCTTCTGGCCAACGGGGGCGGGATTTTATCGTGGATACGATAACCCTGCTGACGAAGCCTCTTGACTCTCCACCATGTGGCGGGTTGGCGCCTCATCGATTGGACGAACGGGGAGGATGCCCCCACTGCTGCGTGAGAAGAAGAGAGTCTCTGCTGATTAACCTTTCTGCTCGCTCTCATACTCTCTCTCACTCTCTCTCACTCTCTCTCACTCTCTCTCACTCTCTCTCACTCTCTCTCACTCTCTCTCACTCTCTCTCACTCTCTCTCACTCTCTCTCACTCTCTCTCACTCTCTCTCACTCTCTCTCACTCTCTCTCACTCTCTCTCACTCTCTCTCATCCACTCTCATCCACTCTCACCCTTCTTTCTTCTCGCACCCACCCAACTGGGACCAGGGTCCAGCGAGCCTTGCTGTTAGAGTTTCAGCTTGCAAGGACCAGCTTAGTGCTACACTTCCCGCGATTCCATCGCCCAATTCTTGCTGCCTACACTAACTAGTATGGTACATAGGTAGTAGCACACAATCCAGCTCGACGGTTCGGATGGAATACGAACATCAGATGAGCAACTGACAAGACGCTGTGGGTAACTGATAGCCGCCCGCCGTTGAGTTCACCTGTGCACTATTACCCGCGGGCTTCAGCGCACCGAAGGCGTCTATCATCGCCAGAGCTTAACGCCCCGGCATCGTCCAAGTTGCTCCTTGAAGTATTGGCGATCCTTTTCCGGGTTAGGGGGGCCCGGAGGTCGAGAGAAGGATATTTATCCATATTAGTGTAGTACACTACCGTGCCTAGGCGGGCAAAGCAAGCAGACAATCATGCATGGTTCAGGTAGGGCTACCTACGGTGATACTTCAGTATCTCTCTACACATTGCAAGGATGAGAAAAGGAAGGTGACCGATTGTCGGCTTGACTGATAACCAACCGATAACCCACCCCGTTTGCCATGTCTGCCGTTGCAGTGAGAGCAAGCCACGGGTTGCATGCACCGTTTCGCCACCAATGAAGCTGTCGCAGACCCTGTCCAGGCTAAGCCCATTACGTGACGTAAAAAACCGTACACTCTGTCGACATTCGACAAGACAGGGTAACCAACCGAGAGGGATTCCATAATCACGCTCAGTTCGCTCCATCCCAGCCGCCGGGAGTGGGGTGTTGTGGCACCGCCGCCTCCTGACTCGCTTGGCGGCTCCGTCTCCTTATCAAACACGCACGCACACACATGGGAAGGAAGAGTCTTCCCGAAAATTCTCTTACCAATGTGTGTGTGGGCATGAATGCATGAAAGACAAAATGGAACAGGGAAAGAAAAAGACATGTCAAGGCTGGAGAAGAAGGAAGAAGGGGGTCTTCTGCCGCGAATCCAGAACTGAGAAACGCCCAGAACCACAATACGCTCGCTACTGGGCGGTCTTATACGAACAAGTATGCAATGCCATGCAATGCAATGCTATGCAATGCTCCGATAGCACTCGGTCTCTCCTATCCTCCCCTCCCTCCTATCTTCTGTCCAACCTCCCCCTCCCCAACCGGCATGCACAAGCCTCTTGTTTTTGCCATGTGTTGGCGTTCAAGCTACTGAAGCTTTTCTCTGCCGGCTCAGGGTTTGCCTGGCCACACAAGTCGAGTCATCCCGGGAGGATTCTGGGATCAACTACGGAGTAGATTCTCGGGAACAAAACAGACACCCATGTCAGTCCAAAGATGTACTGGGTAAGACGCAGCAAAGAACCCATCACTCTCAACAGGGCCGACTTTTCCTCCCCCCCCCCTCCTGCGCAGTTCCACCCCCTGCTGACCTGTGTTGCTAAAGTTCCTTTTACGCTACCCATCCCGGGCACCGCGGAAGAGTTCGTCAGTTGGTACTGATGCTATTAGCATACGGATACGCGTGAGAAGGATGCCACCGCCGCCGCCGCCGCCGCCAACTGTGGACGACTTTGAACGAGGACCCCCCCCCCCCCCCCCAAACTCTCCAACACCCGGGTTCCCGACCGGGACGATCTCTCTTGTTGGCCAGAGTCCACCTCGAGCTGAACCTGGCCTATAGCCTGGGAGGATATTCATAGTATCCAATCGGCCAGCCTCCGCAACCCTGCCTGGAAAGCCGAGGGACACCACTGAGAGGGCCATCTCCATACGTATGATGCACACATGAGTAAACGTCGAGCTCGTATCCTAGAATGGCAGTCTCCGCAGGTGAAGGACATGACGGCTAACCTAACTGATGTCCCTAGTTTTCGTGAGGCGATGCTGGCCATACGGGGCGGGTCTGACTATGTCTCCATGCATCCTCCTGCCACCCCTTACCACTCAACCTACTCACACGCACACGCGCGCACACCACCGGCCGAAGACATGGGAGGCCGGAGCAAGCAGGCCAGCAAAATGCCGTGGTGTTCAAAGATTTCCACCCCCCATAGTAAAAGTAGTCCATAGATCCCGTAGACCCCCCAATCTCTGACGTACGTTGCTTTCTGGTTTTCCTGCCTAGCTCTCGTTTCTGCTTCGGGCTGTGTATTTTGTGGGAAAGGGAGCATCTCTACTATCGCTCATCCATCTTTCCCATCCATCGTCTCTCGTTCAAACCGGATCCCCAAACACTGGCATCACTCGCTTCCGCCAGTTCATGAATGCTGTTATAACTTATTGACTTTGTTCTTTACCCCCTCTCCCCCTCCCCCCCCCCCCATTGAGTGCATCGTTTTGTCCGGGAGCTATCGTCATCGGTATTGAAATCAGCCAGCGTCTATCCCCTCTCGCTTCGAGGACGCACTTGGGCGTCCTCTCTCAGAACAACCGTCCAATATGTGGTTCGGGGAACTGAAAGCGCTCTTACTACTGGGCTTCCTGTCCCGTAATGTTAATGGCCTCAGGTACGAGGAGCAGTTCGTCGACTACAACCTAAACCAGAATAAGGATGCGACAGATCCCATATTCTACAATGGAACATGGGAGGGTCACGAGCACACGCCGTCGCCGGATAACTGGCGGTTCCCGTTCTACACCATCATGCTTGACAGATTCGTGAACGGCAACCCGGATAACGACAACGCGAACGGAACCGTACTCGAGCAGGACATCACGGGCACGCAGCTGCGATGGGGCGGTGATGTCGCCGGCCTGGTCGACACTCTGGATTACCTGCAGGGCATGGGCATCAAGGGAATCTACTTTGGAGGATCGATGCTCATCAACGCGCCATGGAACTACGACTCGTACTCGCCGTTGGATCAGACGCTGCTGGATTTCCACTTTGGCAACATCACCGAATGGAGATCGGCCATCCAGGAAATCCACGACCGTGGAATGGTAAGTCGGACAGGCACAACGTGCCTCTCAAGAACCATGCGCGACTGACCTGCCAAATAGTACATCATCTTCGACAACACCATGGCCACCATGGGTGACCTGATCGGCTTCAAGGACTACCTCAACAGCTCGGCGCCGTTCGAGCCCCACGAGATGGAGATTGTCTACAAGACGGACCGACAGTATCTCGACTGGACCTTCCCGACAGCGTACAACGAGACTTGCGAACACTTTCCTCGTCTCTACCTCGAAGAGGGCAGGGAAGTTCCCCAAGACATCTACGACATGTTCGGAGGCTGCTACAACGGTGACTTTGACCAGGTATGGCTTTATTCCCATCCCCCCATTGATTCGACACCTTCGATAGGCGGCGTGATAACTAACCGAGACACCATGACAGTTCGGTGACACTGAGGCCTTTGGCGTATACCCAGATTACCGGCGTCAGTTGACAAAGTTCGCCTCCGTCCAGGACAGACTGAGAGAATGGGTCCCCGCCGTCAACCAGAAGCTTGCCCACTTCTCGTGCATAATGATCCAGATGCTGGATATCGATGGTTTCCGATTTGACAAGGCGCTGCAGGTTACGGTTGACGCCCAGGGCGACTTCTCCAACAAGATGCGTGAGTGCGCTCGCGCCGTCGGCAAGGAAAACTTCTTCCTCCCCGGCGAGATCACGGGCGGTAACACCATGGGTTCCATCTATATCGGCCGCGGCCGCGTTCCCGAGCAGTGGTTCAAGGACATCAATACTGCTTACAACACGACCCAGGACAAGGCAAAGGACATGGACATCTTCATCCGCGACGAGGGCCACCAGGCCCTGGATTCCGCCGCCTTCCACTACTCCTTCTACCGTTTCCTCGTCATCTTCCTAGGTATGGACGGTACTGGTGTGGCCGGCTACGATGTGCCCAGTAACTTTGTCGAGGCTTGGAACGAGGTCCTGCGGTCCAACGATATGATCAACGCCAACACCGGCGAGGTCGACCCCCGCCACATGTTCGGTGCCATGAACCAGGACACCTTCCGCTGGCCTGCCATTGAAGTCGGTCACGAGCGCAGTCTGATGGGCTTGTTCATCACAACGCTTCACTTGCCCGGCATTCCCATGCTCACGTGGGGTGAGGAGCAGGCGTTCTACGTCCTCGACAACACGGCGCAGAACTACATGTTCGGCCGTCAACCCCTCGCCTCCGCGCCCGCCTGGCAACAGCACGGATGTTACTCCATGCCCGCAACCCTCTATTTCCAGATGCCCCTCACGAAAGCACGCGAGGGATGCCGTGACGACACCGTCTCTTATGATCACCGCGACCCCAGCCACCCGATCAGGAACATCCTCAAGCACATGTACCATCTGAGAAAGGAGTACCCCGTTCTCCAGGACGGCATGTGGCTCGAGCAGCTGTCGAACCAAACCGATGACCTCGTATACCCTGGTAACTCCGGAATGGTCACCACCACCGGTCTCTTCAGCGTAATGCGTTACCAGCTCGGCGTCCAGGACCTCGGCGAGAACCCCGTTCCCATCTGGTTCCTGTACCACAACTACAACGTCACCCGCGAATACAAGGTCGATTGCAGCAAGAAGGAGGAGGCCATCATCTCCCCCTTTGAGGCCGGTACCACGGTGAAGAACCTGTTCTTCCCCCACCAGGAGACCACGCTCGACGCATCGACCGTGGCGCTCCCTTACGCCAACAACAAGGGCTTTAACGGCTGCTTCACGAACATCACTCTGGCCCCATTCGAGTTCCGCGCCTACGTACCCAAGGCCGACTTCAAGAACCCCCCCGTTGGCGTCACCAAGTTTGTTCCCGGCCATGATGCCCGCCTCCAGTCCAACGAACCCGTCAACACCGTCCCCATTGAGCTTCATTACTCCGTTAAGATGGACTGCGATTTATTCAAGAACGCAGTCAGCTTCCAGTCCCACACCGACGACAACAGCGTCCCCTCGATTGACGAAAGCTCCATCCAGTGCGCAGACATATCCGAACGCGTCTCTGAGTGGACGGGCGCCCTGCCTTCTGTGTTTTCGTGGAAGGCCAACCTGGTCAATGTCAAGCATGGTGTGCACCAGGTCGTCGTTAAGAACGCAACCGTGTTTGGCGGGCAGACGTCGACAAACGTCACTGACAGGTTCCTCTTCCGCATCGGCTCTCTGGACAACGGCATCGTCTTCCCCCACGAGGCCAACTACTCCACGACCCTCCTGACCAAGGACGCCGACGGCACTCTCAGACTCAAGCACACCTCGGCCGGAGCCAGCAGGTTCCGCTACTCGACCAACTTCGAGTCCTCTTGGAGCGACTGGGCCCCCTACGAGACCGAGACCAAGGTCGTCAAGCAGCCCTGGAACGGCACCAAGGAGCAGGAGTGGAAGGGCGAGCA